GTGAGCGGGGAAGGGGCAGAGAGAGGAAACACAGAATCTGAAGCATGTTTCAGGCTGTCAACACAGAGTCCGACAGGGGGCTCGAGCCCACAAACTGTGAGATCGTGACCTGAGCCAAAGTCAGACACTTAACTGACTGAGCCACCCGGGCACCCCTAAAATATTTTTTTTTAAGTTTATTTATTTCTGAGAGAGAGAGACAGAGACAGAGAGAGAGCATGAACGGGGAGGGGCAGAGACAGAGGGAGACACAGAATTAGAAACGGGCTTCAGGCTCTGAGCTGTCAGCACAGAATCCTATATAGGACTTGAACTCACGGACCGTGAGATCATGACCTGAGCTGAAGTCGGACGCTTAGCCGACTAAGCCACCCAGATGCCCCTCAACATTTTAAAATCAGAAGAGCTCACATTTAACAAGTTAGGATTTCTGACTTTTATAGGAAAATTGGAACTATGCCAGTACCAGGCCCACAGTCCCACATTTGCAATAATTGGGTAGAGTGGAGTAAGGGTAACTGAGGGTAACGTCTTTTTTTATTTTTGAGACAGAGAGAGAGATGGGGCGGTGGGGGGGGTGGTAGAGTGTGAGAGAATCTGCTGACAGTGTGGAGCCTGAAGCTGGGCTCCATCTCATGAGCTGTGAGATCCTGACCTGAGCTGAAACAGAGTCCTATGCGTAACCCACTGAGCCACCCAGGCGCCCCAAAGGGGAACATCTTGAAGTAGAATGTGTGCTCTCTGGTTTGCTACAGTTGCCACCAATCCCTGTTACTTCATACTCTATCTCTTTCACTCCTTTACGCTACTCCATAACCCTGTAGGCAATTTATTTTCAGCCTCTGGAGTGCCTTGTAGTTTCAAAGTATTTTTCCATGTGTGATTTTATTTATTTGTTATTCCTTGATATTCCAATAAGGCAGAGACGATAAATACTATGATTATAACCTCCATGTAAGCAAAATGTAGTTCCAAAAGGTTGACTTCCCAAAATGTACACAACAAAACCAGAATCTAAAGTTCCGGGATCCCAGTCCAATTATTTTTTTGAAAAGTTTCTATGAAGAACTGCATTTAGGGATGCCAAGCTGGCTCAGTGGGTGGAGCATGCAACTCTTGATCTGGGGTCTCTGAGTTCGAGCCCCATGTTGGGTGTAGAGATTACTTAAAAAATAAAATAAAATCTTTAAAAAAAAAAAAAAGAACTGCATTTAGTGGTTCATGTAAAAAAAAAAATTAGAGGTAGATATAGGCATAATTGCTGGAATGGATGAGTTCCAGCTGCTAAGCTGTTCAAGAATCACCACAAATGATTTAACATTCTTCCTTTTAATGAAATATTTCTGCTTCACTTCTTCCAGACATTTGAAAAGATTGCCCTTCTAGCCCTCTTCAAGTTGGGTGTGGCTATATGACTGGCTTTGGCCAATGAAGTGAGTGAAAGTGGTGTATGTCCTGTTGAGGCAAAAGCATTTAAGAGCCCATGAACAACTCATGCTTACTTCACTCGGGTGGGGGTGGGGAACTCTAAGTCTCATGGTGATTTAGGTAGGATCTCAAAATGGTGGTGCTCTAACAGCTTGGGTACCTTGAGTAACTTCTAAAGAGTAGAGCTCACTGCCAGACTACTCTAGACATGTACTGTGAGACCAACATTTGTGGTTGAAAGCCATTAAGACTTGGGCATTTTGGGAGCGCCTGGTTGGCTTAGTAGGGAAAGCATGTGACTCTTAATCTCAGGGTTGTGGGTTCAAGCCCCACTCTGGTCACAGAGCTTACTTAAGGGAAGAAAAAAACTGGCGCATTATTACCAAAGCCTAGCCTAACCTGACTGATAAGGTTCATTTGTACAGTGGTTGAGCTTCTCCAAGAACCAGAATTCCTAGACTTCTGATCCTATCACTAAAAGCTGTCAATCCTATCTGGAAGACACAGTGAATTGTGTGTGTGTGTGTGTGTGTGTGTGTGTGTGTGTGTGTTTACCCCCAATTTCCTCATCCACCACCATCTTCTGACTTCGAAGAAAATAATTTTCGGAGTCTTGCACACATAAGCTCTGCATTATTGTGGCGGTTAGACTGGGAGGAGAAGGGGGAGGCCCAGATCTTGTTTTCTCCATTCAAGAGCCTAATTCCAGAACTGTCTCCACCCACTAGTACTCACACAACCTTGTCATAGGGCGACTATCACCACTCCCAAGGTGTCACAAACAGGAGCTCTGCCGCTGGCACCACTGCAATGTTAGGGCAAGGCAGCCAGGCTGCGCTCTTTCCTCACTGATGCCTGGGCTTGACTAAGTTCGGAGAAGCAGCATTCTCTAGGGAAAGAAGCCTTCTCAAGTGGGAACAAAAATGAGTGTGAGGCGCACACCCATCCTGGGCACTATGTGAATTTGGGGTGAGTTCTCTTAGTACTCCAGCTGTGCTCAATTTCTAGTTTCTCTAGCGGCTGGTGCTACTGGGTCTCCCAGTTTTCCTGGGCTTTTCTCAAGCCCACTTGAGCTTGTCATCTTTGCACACGTGCAAAGGTCATAAACTGTGGGGGTTGAGCCCAACCAGAGCTTCAGCAACCGGACGCAGCCGGGATCAAAGGTCGGCGGGGCTGCGAGGGGCTGAGCCTGCGCAGTCCCGCTCCCGCCTTGGAGAGAAAGGGTGGCAGCAACGCGGGCTCGTTACACCGGCGTGCTCGCAAGAGGCGGGAAAATTTTAGCTCGGGTCGCCGCGTCCTTTCCTCTTCTTGCCCCGTCCACCCGTCTGCCCCACGCGCCTGTCCTCGTCCGGCACCGGGGCCCGAAGGGAGGGGGACGAGAAGGGCCTTGGGCTTCTGACTCATCATCTCCAACCCCTTTCTCGCGCGCGCTCCAAGTCTCAGGACTCTGGATTTGGGCTCTATGGGAGGGGGCGCGGCGCCAGCATTTGGGGCACGCAGCTTTGCCGAGGGCCAGCTCCCAGCCCCAGCTCGTCCCCGAAGCTGCCAGAGGGAGGGCTGTGGACCCACAGTCAGCTCTCAGTTGCCGTGATTGGGGCCGCGGCGCCCCCGCGCAGGATAACCCGCCCGGCTCCTCCCTGCACCCAGGGCCAGTGGTCGCGTCCGAGGAAACTCTCGGCTAGGCCCCGACTTACAGCGCCTGGCGTCACTCAGCAGATGTACAGCGCCCCCATCCCGGAGGGAAGGCTCTTTATTTCCCATCAGGCCAGGGGCAGAGGGGCATCCTGGGACTCGTAGTCTTTGTTAGAGTAGAAGGGACCGGGATCGAAAGAGAAAACTAAAGCCCCCGTGGATTGACTTCCAAGAGTGGACGCATACGGGAACCCGGGCTTGGAGTATGGGATTGTGAAATGTGGAAAGAAGAGAAATAAGTGAGATGAGACAGATGCGAAGCTGTATGGGGAGGCTATGGGTAAGGAGGGGAAGGATGGAAGGGAGAAGTGGGTACAGCTGAAAGTTGGCTTAAGGATGTCCTGCAGGCGGGCAGCTTTTCAGGCTAGTGAGGTGAGGGAATACTCTGGTTTAGGTATAGCTTCTCCTAGCGAGGAAGGGAAGAGAAAGGGGCCGAGTCCGAATGAAATTGAAGGCACTCCACTGGACTTCATGTAGGTCTCAGAGGACTGACTCCATCTAGCTTCTGAGTTCTGTGGAGTGGGGACAAGAGGGTCTGGAAACTGCTCCTGACGGGTAGCAGAGCAGGACTTCTCTGCCTCCCCTCGCCAGCTCACTCATTTGTTCCATTTGCTGTGCTAGCCACCGTGGGGCCATTCTCCAAATCAGCAACTTCCTCCAACTCAGAGAGACCCTAAAAGCCAGATAGGTGTGAGAGGAGCAAACTGTAGGGGTGAGAAAGGGGGGAATCCCAGACAGAAACAACTTCCTCCTGTTCTTCCATTTTTTCTTGTTCCAATAGTCCTTCCTTTTAGGCAGCTTCCTAACGCTGTCCCACATTTCTAGTCCCAGGCATTTAGATGCCCAGCTCCCTCTTACCCACCACTATGAGAGAAACGTCTAAAACCAGAAAACCAGTTTCTGGCTACAACTCCTTCTCCCTCTCCACCTCCCACCAACCCCATGGTTTTCCCTTAAGTGCCACTGACCACAATAGCCAGTGAAAAAATCAGCTGCTAGCTAACTGCTCCATACTGTCCTCCAAGCCCTGAATACCTCCTGCAACTCCTGGTAGTGCAGACTCTGGGTCCGGCAGCATCCTGGCTTCCTCTGGCTCAGCAGGAATAGGGAGTGTGCTGAGAGGAGCACTCCCCCTAAGGTGAAGGTCTCAGCACTGAGCTCCACCACCAGCAAGCCAGCCAGCTGCAGGTAGACAGGGCTGAGAATGCTACAGGGGACCCAGCACCTGTTTGCTCTTGCCCCTTTCCCTCTCCATCTCCTCTTGCCTCCTCATCCTCCCACCTTCTTTATTCACCCATACCTGGGAGGGGGCAGTTGGGGCTGGCCCCAAGGCTGTCTTCATCACCTCGACCACCACCACGATGAAGCCCAAGATCAGATTGAAGATGTTGAGTATCATCATGGCCTGCACCTGCCAGTGAGCCAGCTCAGCTCTGCCCAGCCTAGGGGACTCATTGCAATCCCAAGCCCCACCTACAGCCTAGCCCCAAAACAAAACTCAGCTCCTATTCCTCCACCTCCAAACAGGGCCATCAGCCCTCTAACTTTCTTGCTTTCTCTCCTTTTAGGCCAGTCAGGGGCAGAGAGCTGACAGGATTAGTTAACATCTATCCACTTCCTGGGCCGAGTCCTGCGTGTGTGTGTGAGTGTGTGTGTGTGTGTGTGTGTGTGTGTGTGTGTGTGTGTGTTTGGTGGGGGGCAGTGTTGGAGAACAGTGCTGTATTCTCTTCCCCTCTCACCTTCCAGAGGCGGGGTGATCTGCGCAGCTCAAGGGTAACCATCCCAGTGAGGAGACCCTGAATGTTGAGAAAGGCAAATGTTGAGCTCTGCCCCGTTAGGGAGGGGCTTCCAGGATCTTCCTTCCACCCTTCCTTGTGGTGGGTCTTACCAAAGCCCCAGGCACAAGTGGCAGCGCCGTGGCCATGTGACAAGCAGAATTCAGGCAGGCAACAGAGACAGCAAAGGGCATCACAGCCACAGCCAGCCATAGCTGGCTCACCTGGAGGCCAGACACAGGGGAGTTGAAGGGGATCCAGAGATCAGCAATTGGGAGGAATGCATGTTGGCAGAAAGTAGTCAACCAAGGACAAGTAAAGGAATGGGATATTATTTAATATTTTCTGCCTCCTGTCCAATTTTAGTTACTTACCTATGTGTTTTCCCCACATGATGGAAGCTAGTTAGAGATTAAGGGTCCTGCTTCATTGTTCTATGCCTTCTCCACCCTCCTCCCACTCAGAGCCTAGCACAGTTTCAGGCACATGGTGGGTGCTCCCTAAACATGGACGGAATTGAATTGGGATACAAGTGGGCATGCTGAAGCTTGGGGTAGGGCAGCCTGGCCTCACCGCCAGCACCAAGAGGTGCCCACTCTGCCTGTGCCTTGCCCAGTGCTGTAGCTTTTCCAGACGAACACTGGGTCTCTCCTGTTCCCGCTGAGCAGCTCTCTCCTCCATGGTTCCCTTGACCACTGGAGTTCAGTGCTTCCTAGGCTGGGAGAAATGCATTATGGCACCTAGCAGGAGATAGCACATGCAGCAATATCTCTTTGAGCTGTCCCTCTGCCCGCTTCCAATATCCAGGGAGTTGAGCCTCAGGGCCTCACACCTACCTAGTCTGAAGGAGCTACTCCAAGGAGATGGGGCCCAGCCTGGCCTGGAGCTCCTAGCAGGGTCTGGTAGCTTAGAGCAGACAATAAACTTGTGCTGGCAGAGACAGGCTGTCAGGGCTGGGTGTGGTGGGGCAAAGGTCCCCATGAAGGCCTAAGGATCCAGGGAGTGGCCATGGGCAAACCCAGCCTCAGTTCATTCCACAAGGCAATTCATTCCTGCCTTGCTCTGTCCTTTCCTGTTGCCCCCCTCTCTGCCCATCCTGAGTCTTCTGATTATTCACCTCATCCCCATGGACACTACCACCCTGGGCCTCAGTTTCCCCACATTTCCATCTAATCTTTCTCCTCCCCTTGTTTGGTTTTTGTTTGTTTGTTTGTTTGTTTGTTTGCTTCCTCTTCAAATTACCGGCTGTTTCTAGGGAAATCCCATATTACTGTCTAGTTTGGTCCCCTGTCATTACCACTTGCAGATTTGTCTCAAGACCAGGCAAGGTTTAATTCCCCTGCCTTCCTGTCTCTCACTTTCTGGACAGTTTGTCCTCTCTCCTTCCTTTCTTGAAGGATTTACTTTGGATTGGATACTAAGTAGATGGGGATCCCTACTTATAGTGGGGATTGTTTCTCACTCAGTGTTAATTTGCAGCTAGATATGTATAAAAGATTGTCCCTAAATGGTCAGTTTTGGGAAGGACACCAATGAATATTTTTTAAGTTAATTTTAAAATTTATTTATTTATTTTGAGAGAGAAAGGGTGCACAAGTGTGAGTGCAAGCCGAGGAGGGCAGAGAGAGAGAGGGAGGGAGAGAATCCCAAGCAGGCTCCATGCTGTCAGAGTGGAGCCCAATGTGGGGCTCGATACCATGACCCTGGGATCATGACCTGAGCCAGAACCAAGAGTTGGACACTCAACGGACTGAGCCACCCAGGCACCCCTACTGATGAATATTTTTGAGAGACAGAAGTTGCCTTGCAGTCAGGTGCCTGGACTAGAATCTCAGCTCTGTCACTCCCAGCTGTGTGAACTTGGATACACTATTCTACCTATTTGAACCTCACTTTGTTCAACCTGAGTGATAAAAAGGGGGCTAATGATATGGCTATGAGAGGTTGTTGACTCGTGGAGGGTACTTAATAACCATCAGTGGTGTGACGAGGTCACACTGATGTGCCTGATGCCTGTATACTAAAAGCTTATTCAGAAGCTAAGTTGGGGGGGGGCATTTATTTCTACAGTGTGAAGCAGAACCAGCTAGCCCCAAATATATACTCTATGGAGCAAAAATAGGAAAGACACATCTTGGTGCAGAGCCTGAGATCTGAAGAAAACCGAACCTATGTTCAAATCCCAGATCTACCAGGGTGACCTTGGGCAAATTACTTAATGTTTCCTTATCTATAAAGGGAAGTTAATAATACTGATCTCAATACAATACTCAAGGGGTTGCCTTGAGTATTAAAAGAAAATGCAACGAACTAGCTCAGCCCAGTACCTGGCACATAAGTGCTCAACAATTGTTAGTGGCTATTATCATTATTATTACTGATGGTAGAAGACTGGGCAGAAGACTCCTGGGAGTTAGTACCAAGAGGCAGGGTCCTGGATGGCAAGCGGCCCTTTGAAAGCCACTTCTGTCCTGCTTAGTGCTGGTCCAACACTCATTGGAGCATTGTGTCCACTTTTCTTTCCTGTGGAGTGGGAATCACACTTAAAGGGATTTGGAGAAGTTGTGTGTCTACTCCCTCTTCAGTCCCCATGTGCATTAATTCTATTTGGTGGCAATGGCCTTACAGAATTTGAAATGTTAGGCTTGCTCTGATGATCCCTGAGCTGGTAGGCCAGTGGAAAGAGACGCTTCAGCTTCATTCTCCTTACCTGTATATGCAGACTGATTATATTTCAGAGTGTTATTGTAAGGATTCTACACTATTAAATATGTAAACAGGCATTCGGTAAATACTGATAAAATCTGAGTGTACTATTTACAAATTTGTAGCCCCCGTCTAGATTACAGTCTGCTCATGGGAGGGTATCACAACCCCCCTCATATGTTCATCCCCCACAGTGCTGAGCATAGTGCCTGGCACTTAGTAAGCAATCAGTAAATATTTGTTGTATTGAAGAGCCATTAAAGTGACTTAAGGAGTGGAAAAGAGAATTCGAGAGGAAGGAGCAGGAATTGTTTATCAAGAACAGAAAGGACCGAAGAGTAACTTTAATAATGTTTCTTATACGGCAGACATTAACTATCTCTATAATCGCCCCTCCTCCTCCTCCCCAAAAAGAGAGACAGAAATTGTAAGGGAGAGGCTTTGAGATAAAACCCCAGGAAGAACTTCCCGAGTCTGTGCATGTTGGGGCAGAAAGAGCGGCAGAGCCAACTCCTTCCCTGGTATGTCCGGGTTTAGGGTGGGAGGGGCAGTCCGGCTTGGAGGCTGGGGGAAGGACGAGATGACCTTTCAAAATCTCTTCCAGTCTCCCGTTGGAATCGTCTGTGCGTCCCACCCCCGCTCACTCCCTCCCTCCCTCCGACAGCGCCCCCAGTCTC